ATGAGAATTTTAAACAATATGTTTACACTTATCAGTAACGCAATATTTTCTAATATATATAAACATTGYTTTACTGTCTGTGATAACATAGAGTTTCTAATTGCTGAACTTAACTTTCAACCCTTCATTGTCATGTTCGTTTTGCTAAAACATTGTCAAGTATAATTAATGTAATAATAGCTGTACTTTAGAACTATAATAATATATTAAAGAACAAAAATAAACATTTTACAAAATTTATTAAGAATATATGAAGGAGTAAAACATTTTATACTTGACGGAATGACAGCGACGAACGACTCACTGYCAATGAGTCTCATGAGTCTGCTTGGTGAATCTCACTACTAAGTCAACTGAATAGCGCAAGTCTGCTCGGATGACTCTTGCTAAGTCACAGWACAAATATGAGATACTGAGAATTCGGTCTTGGAGCCTTTTATCCATCAATGGTCCAAAGTCTGCCTGGGTAATACACACTACAAAGTGGTACTTGAACGGAGTGTATAGTATAGAGTGTTTCTCACCTGAATCACACAAGTCTGCCCACGTGGTTCTTGCTACGGAACGAATGAAAAACAAGATACTGAGGATTCGGTCTTGTAGTCTTTTATCCATCGGTGGTACTGAGTCTGTTTCAGTAAGACACACTTCAAAGTAGATAATTGACGGAGTTTAAGAGATTTATCTCATCTGAGTCACGTAAGTCTGCCCGGGTGGGTCTTGCTATGAAACAGATGAAAGAAGAGATAGGTATTTAGTTATTGGACCTATAAAGCCTGTTTTGTACGGGCTCCGTTGATAATATTAAGGTCAAGTGGATGGGAAAAATTACAAAGTGGATCATCAACGGAGTTTAGGAGATTTTTCTCAACTGAGTCGCGCAAGTCTGCCCGGGTGGGTCTTGCTACGAAACAGATGAAAAACAAGATGAGGATTCCGTCTTGTATTATTTTATCCATCGGTGGTCCTGACTTCCTGAGTCTTCCTGGGTAAGACACACTTTATAGTAGATCATTGACGGAG